ACTCTTTACTCGTTTTATTTGTTAATTACTCTTTACTCGTTTTATTTGTTAATTACTCTTTACTCGTTTTATTTGTTAATTACTCTTTACTCGTTTTACCTTCTTTTCTATTTCTTTTAACGTTGACAGCTTTGTTTCATTTTTAAACACATGTCCAGTCGTTTTACTCTGTAAAAAGTTATTTAAGGCTGAACATTGTGACTTCACTTTCACAGAAAATGTAATCAGTCTAATTTTATTTGACTGTAGAAGAGAGTTATTTTATGGGATGTTTATTGAATGTAACACATTAGTTCTCATAGATGTTTAATATTGTCTCTGAGGACAGATGAGAGTTAACAGTTCACCTGACGTTCATGGTTCTGGTCTGAGGGAGGAAACCAGAACACCTGGTTCCATGTTCTCTATGAGAACACATGCACAGAGAACATAACTCTACCCAGAAAGATCCTCAGCCAGGATTTGAACCAGCAACCTTCTTGCTGAGAGGGAACAACTCTGCATCATGCTGCCCTGAAGCAATCATTTTATTAGTAATAATTTGAAGGACTGGATTCATCTGTTTTGTTCTAACTGGATGCAGATGATTTCAGTTTGTTTTATTTGTTCCTGTTTAATTCAGTTTAACTCCATAATGAAATGATGCTACAAATCAACTGAAAGAAACTGAATGAATACATGAAACTGTTGGATAAGTTGATTATTAAGACACTTGATCCAAACAAGCAGCAGATGTGTTTCCTGATGAAGAGAACATGTCCACCTGATCCACTGGCAGCAGAAGGAACTGACTGTGTACAGATGAGCTTTAAAGAGCTCAGWGTGACTTCCTGTTCAGCAGCACATCCACTTCCTCTACAGCAGGTCAGAGATGTAACTGTAACTAACACAGCTGTGTTTTCACACTTACAACATCAGGAACACACACAGCAACAAGTCAGGCAGAAGTCCAACAGACAAAKACAAATCAACAGCATTAATAWCTCCTGTCACTAAATAAAACACAATGTTTTAACTACAGCTAAAATCCAATAATAAATCATTTAACTCATCACAGGGTGGGATTAAAAATAAATCATTTAACTCATCACAGGGTGGGATTAAAAATAAATCATTTAACTCATCACAGGGTGGGATTAAAAATAAATCATTTAACTCATCACAGGGTGGGATTAAAAATAAATCATCTTTAACTCATCACAGGGTGGGATTAAAAATAAATCATTTAACTAATCACAGGGTGGGATTAAAAATAAATCACATTTAACTCATCACAGGGTGGGATTAAAAATAAATCATATTTAACTCATCACAGGGTGGGATTAAAAATAAATTATTTAACTCATCACAGGGTGGGATTAAAAATAAATCATTTAACTCATCACAGGGTGGGATTAAAAAATTATTTAACTCATCACAGGGTGGGATTAAAAATAAATTATTTAACTCATCACAGGGTGGGATTAAAAAAATTATTTAACTCATCACAGGGTGGGATTAAAAATAAATCATTTAACTAATCACAGGGTGGGATTAAAAATAAATCATCTTTAACTAATCACAGGGTGGGTTTAAAAATAAATCATCTTTAACTCATCATAGGGTGGGATTAAAAATAAATAATCTTTAACTCATCACAGGGTGGGATTAAAAATAAATCATCTTTAACTAATCACAGGGTGGGATTAAAAATAAATCATCTTTAACTCATCATAGGGTGGGATTAAAAATAAATAATCTTTAACTCATCACAGGGTGGGATTAAAAATAAATCATCTTTAACTCACAGGGTGGGATTAAAATAAATCATTTAACTCATCACAGGGTGGGATTAAA